GGGGGGGTCAGGAAGGCGAGGCATTTACCCCCATCATTCTTGGACCGTCCTGTTCCTGTCGCCGACCCGGGATGCCGCCTGGCCCGCCCCGGGACCCAAGCGTCCCGCTTATGGTGGTGAAATGGTTCCTGAGTGGTGCAGTAGTATACTTCCACGACCATAGTTCCTTGATCAGTCGGGAAGCTATATGTGTTGTTGCGAGATAGGAGTGCAAACAGTGCCCGCGATGCAAACACCAGAATAAAGTAGGGGCTGGGCTAACGCCCAGCCCGCAAAAAGCAATTTCCCACAGTGAAAAAAAAGAGTCGTAGGCTCACAGGGAAATTTTCCATAACGTTGTGTCTGAAAAATTACAATTTGAAAATGTAAATTTTTGCATCGACTTTTTATTGGTTGAAAGTATGAATGGACTGTCGTAAATTTACAACATATTCTGTACATTAAAATTACAACAACAAATTTACGAGGATAATTATCACAGGTGGCAGGCGTCAATAGCGCACTTTACTTCTTCTCAAATTTTTTACCTACACTATACTGTTACACCTGGCGGCGCATGCTGTGTCCCACCCAGTTCGAAACGAAATATGAATGTAAAGCGTTTATTTAATCGCTACAATCACACGCGAGTTCGAGACACGTGAAAGATTCGCGCCCCCCTTCCGTCGTCGCGTCCTCTCCCCCACCCCTCACCTTTTTCTGCGTTGACAGGTAAGGTGACGCGGTGACGCATCAGTCTCTCTCTCTCTCACAGACACACATACGCACGCAGGCCTTCTTCCCATACATGTCCCCACACATGCTTGCCACTCCCCCCTCCTCTTCCCCACCAACTTTTGCCCCGGCGCAATATCTCCAGGCGTCGGCGCGGCCTCCGGCTCACTCAGCCTCCGAGCCCCGCCCCGGCGCCATCACCATCATGTCCAAGCTGCTGGTGCTCCTCGCCCTCAAGGCGGCCCTGGTGCTGCTCGCCTCCGCGTCAGGTGCGTTGTTTTAGGGTTGAAAGTCCTGGAAAGTTTCAGAAAATTTCAGGAAAAAAAAGGAAAATTTCCGGGGGAAATGGAAAATTTCCCATAGACTTTATTGGAAGTTTTCATTTATTTGCCAGAAATTTTCGGAATATTTTCGGAAAATTTTGGAAATTTCCAACCCTATGCGTTGTGTACACACTCGGCGAGGTGCTTCTTTGGTGTGGCTCTGAAAAATAAGAAAAGGACGCCGATGTGTTTTCACCGTGTTTATACCATTTGCCTTGCGTTAGATCACGTCGTAAATGTCCGCGGTGTTACTGTATTTTTGGCGAGGGGGCAATAACTCCGGGAATCATGTGTACATCTGCCTGGAAGTCATCAAGATGAAAAGTAATCGAAATCAACAGAAATCGTTTAAACTAAGTGGGAAACTAATGAAACTGATACAAATTAGTCAAAGTAAGCGTTTTCTCCCACTAGAAAACCTAAGGCATGAATATAAGTGGACGGGAATCACTGGGAATCACAAGGAATCAAGTATTTCGGGAATCATGTGTACACACCAAAAGGGAGTTATTGCCCCCTCGAAAACATCAAAAATACTTTGCAAAATCAGATTGTACGTGTAATGTTTCTACAGCATAGGAGAAATTTTGCCTAAATAAATTTTGCACAAGCCTTGCACATGCCAAAATGAGTGTTGTAGCAGAAAACGACACTTTTATCACTTTTGTTTTTGTGCCACATGTACTGGTGCGAGTGCCTGAGCACAGCGGTGCGTGTGCTGATACACTGGAGTTGATATACGCACTCCTGTGTGTTTCTGTAAAAGTAAAGTCGGTCCGAAACGATAATTATTGTGCACAATCGTGGTCTGGCCCCGCCTCCCCCCTCCTCCTCTTGCTTGTTTCCCACTCAAAGTTTCGCGCTATGCGCACACGGTGGGGGAGCGTGGAGTATAGCGTCATGCCGGGCGGGTATTGACTAAGACCGAAATGGGTAAACCACACACCGACACGCTATGCAGGGTGTAGCACGATGGTTGAAGGGTGTAAGAAATGGAGTGCAAAGATATTCAGTTCTTAGGGCCGACCACCAAGTACTTACTATTTAGGCTGATGTTCTCAGGCCAAGGACCGAGGCACGTCTCACGTGTCGTGCGCCGATCGAGCCGTCCCGGGCTGGATCGGGTAGCACCCCGCGCTGTCGCGAATGCAGCGCGAGGGCTTTCCAGCAGGCGCTGGTTCTGACGCTAGTTCCTCCTCGTGAGCGCGAGAATTTAAAAGTCTACGCATGTCTAACACGTGGGCGGCGCGAAACACAAACGGCGCGCGCCAATTTGCGAGACAATAAGAGAGCCTTCTCCTCAGACACAGCGAGCAAAATTCGAAGTAGTATATTTCGCATTTCCCGCCGAAATTTTCTGTCCCCCGGTGGTCCCGATCTTGGATTATACAGTCAGCACTCACGAATGTATTCTGTGTGCAAATAAAGAGGTAAACAAACCACAAAATCAGAACTAGAAGTCAAAAAAGACTAGGAATCTTCTCACCTTAAAGATTGTTCTGTCTGTCTGTCTGTCTCTCACTCTTGGCATTCACTCGTTTAATGTTTGCGCTAGATGGCGCTTGAGTGCCATGGTAATAACGGGAGTCTTGTCGTGCCTAGCTCTGGGCCAGCGGCCCGCGCCCATTTCCGGCGACCAGGCGGGCTCCGGGCCTGCAGTGCCCCCGGCGCCCCCGGTCGTGTCCGCGCCTGTCGCAGCCGCCTCCTCCTCGTCCCCATCGTCGTCGTCGGCGGCGGCGTCCTCGCGTCCGGGCTGCTCCCTAGGCGGCTTCCACCCCGTGGGCGACACGTGGTTCACCGGTGGCCGCGACGGCTGCCTCAAGTACACCTGCCAGCGTGACGGCGTCGTCAGCTCACAGCCGTGAGTAGAGCGAAGGGTCCTCCGAGGCCCCCCTTTAGGTCGTTCAGGTCCTCCAGGTCCATCAGGTCTTTCAGGTCATTCAGATCATTCAGATCATTCAGGTCTTCCGGGTCCCTTCAGGTCCCTTCAGGTCCTTCAGGTCCCTTCAGGTCCTTCAGGTCCCTTCAGGTCCTTCAGGTCCTTCAGGTCCTTCAGGTCCTTCAGGTCCCTCAGGTCCCTCAGGTCCTCCGGGTCCTCCGGGTCCTTCAGGTCCTGCAGGTCCTCCAGGTCCTCCAGGTCCTCCAGGTCATCCACGTCCCCCAGGGCCTGCAGGTCTTCCAGATCCTCTGGAACCTTCAGGTCCTTCAGGTCCTAAAGGTCCTCTAGAGCCCGCCACTGACCCTTCTCCCCCGGCCCGCAGGTGTCCACGCGTGCTAGCGCCGCAGGGCTGCTCCGTCCAGGACGGCGACGCGGACGCCCTGTACCCGGCGTGCTGCCCCCGGCGCGAGTGCAAGCCCGAAGCCGCCGTGCCTCTGCCCGCCGTCGTTGTGGAGGCCGTGTCCACCACCACCACAGCCGCGCCGCCGAGCAGCAGCAGCAGCAGCAGCACCACGACGGAGGCGCAGACATCCACACCCTCCACCACCACAGCCTCCCCCTAGCCCGCCCAGCCGACAGCCGTGTCGAATGGTCGGCCTACCCTGCCGGCGCCGTGCGACACAGCACGGCCGGAGGCGGACTCACAGCAACGCTTGACAGATGTGCACTGTAAAATTGGAAAGACACAAAAATAATCGCTAAACTTATTTATTCATTAAACACTATCGGGAAATGTTTGAACACAGTTTAACAATTCTCAATACGAACGTCTAAATAATATTGGCAGTTAAAATTCACATGTTTTTCAATTTTCAGAATTTTTGAAGAGGTTTTCGATCTCTATTTGCTGAACTTTTACCGACGTAGAACAAATAGTGCTGCGGAAACCTTTTCTTTGAATAAAAATTATTTTACGGGTTTTACGGGTAGTGTTTTGTTTATAATTATTGCGCAAAGAGCCGGTAGGCAACCTTTCGGCACACTGAGCCTCTCCAAAGAGTTGCATCCACCTTTATTACCCAGAGCATTGCCTCTTGAAACAAATGAAAGCTGCATTTTTCAGATTTACTGGAATGCATTATTTCGTTTCTGTGTACGGTGTGAGTCGCGTTGGGCGTGAGTGAACCCGATGCTCTATTGTCGATAGACTAACATGAATAATATGTCGAGTGGACAACTTGCCCGCAGAGCGCCGCAGTGTCGGAGCGTGGCGTGAAAACATAAACAAAGCCGAAAGCACTCAACGAAAACTACACCTGTTCGGCCAGCAGTATTTGACGATGTTTTCAATCAAAATTTGCATGCAGCCTTTCGTAGAGACGGCTTCGCATTCGCACAGTACCACGAGAAGAGAACTGAAATCCGCAATTGCAACCATTTTTTTTCGCGTAGAGTGTTATGGTACCATGTTTTGTATATAGCGAGGGGTGCGCAACTGTGGTAATCAGGTGTACACCGACTTGGTAATCACTGGTAATCAGTGGTAATCCCTGGTAATCCTCACACTCCTGAGGGTCCTTTAAAAGGAGAAATTTGTTGATTTAGACATGAATTTTTGTGCACATCTTGCCTAAATGCCAACGCGCATGTTCAATACGGTAACTTTGCATCCCTCCCATGGACAAAATAATTATTTTGCCAATCATAGAATGCAAATTTGTAACTTGCATGATAAAGAATCAAGAGCTACCAAAGAGTTGCACAAAAATGCATCTTTCTCGGAACAAAAAATTGCCGTTTCGATTTAGAATGCAGGTGGATCATACCTGGTATACATAGGTAATCTTAGGTAATCTTTGGTAATCATTGGTAATCTTTACAATTTGGTAATCCGGTGTGCACATTTTTATGGAGTAAGGCACCCCTCGGTATATAGTAGTCGTTTCAGCGAAAGGTGTGTCTTTTCCCTAAGCATTGAGAAGGCAGACCTGTGGCTGGGACGACTATATCCTTCTGCTACTGCGCGCCGCCACAGTTGTCCAGTTGTGTGTGTGTGTGTGTTGGGGGGGGGGGGAGCTCCAGATCGGCCTGCCAGGCGCGCTCAAACATTGAACAGGGCGAGGACGACAAGGGCGCACGGCAAGGCCGCCGCGGCGGGGGTGTCAGCTTGCAGCCCGAAGGGGATGCGCGCGTGGGGGTGTGGCGGTTGCAGCGCGCGGGGGGCGTGGCGGGGGCGCGGCCGGCCGGCGTTCAGAGCCAGCAGGGGTCGATGACTTCGTCTGTTTCCGTGGCGCTGTTCGGGCGCGCTCGGGCGCCGCTCGGCTCTCTCGGCTGCCGATGCGCTTCCGCCCGCCGGCACTACTGGCTCCCCCACCCGAACCCGAACCAGACGCTGCCGAGGAGCGCCGAGCAGCGGAGCGCCGCGACGCCGCCGCCCTCGTGTGACGACGCCGCTGGTCGTTCCCCGCGCGCGCGACGCGAGTGCGAACACGCCGCGCCGGTAAAGTGTGACGGCGGTTGACACTGTGTGTGTGTGACTGTGAGTTGAGTGATTGAGTGACGGGAGGCCTCCGCGGACTTGCAAACCACACCACCCTCTGGATTACCGACGGCCGCTTTAGTTTTGGATTTTACGCCCCGCCACCGATACCCGCGCCGCGGAGGCAGGCGACCCCACCGGTGAGTCCAACGGCAGCAGGGCCTTTTGGAGGAGGAGGAGGAGGAGGAGGAGGAGGAGGAG